ACTGCTTCTCCAATGACCCCAATCCTGATACTCTAAAATGTAGTCATTTAGCAATCTTGTGGGTCATTAAGCGGATAGAGTTCCAGGTAAGGAGTGCAGGGTGTCTCAGGAGGGTAGGGTAAAGCCTAGGAAACACCATTCATTCAGGAGCTGAAAATATTGAAATACAAACAGGATTTTCAGCCATTGACTGGAGAGATACTCATGAGTGGCCAGCACCAGACCCCCTCCACTGATCTGAGGCAATACGCACTTCTTAACATACCATCTCTCCACTCTCTGCTTGGATTTCGGCTTCTGCTTGTCTCTGGGGCTAGCTCAAAGAGCTGCCTGTTGAAGGAATTTGGGTCTCTTCCATGCATATAAAGGAACTCCTTCAGCAGGGCACTGGAATGGACCTGAAGTCTTCAGGATTTCAGCTCCGTTTCTGCATGCTGCCACAGGAATTCAGCTCCCCTTGGCAGGCAGCTCTTTCAGGCAGCCCCCAGAGATGAAAGACAGGCAGCAGTTTGCAACATTCCCTGCCAGATTTCCCATTGACTTAATGTAAATCGAGGACTGCCTATAATTATGCTGTTGTGAAGAGGTTCTTGTATGTGGATGGATTCGTTCATTTATTTAGGCAGTTGCTAACATAACTTGGCTTCGTTTACATACTCTGTGGGTGAACTTCTGCAGTCTGTGCTGTTGTTTTTTGTTTCTTGTTTCCCACTGTCACCCTGACCCCTCCCCCTTGTGAAAGCAAACAAGGCAGTGAGGATTTCTTGAGGTTGTCCAACTGCTAGGTCTCTGTATTTTGTCTTCATGTGTTTTAGCAGTGCAGTTGCCAAAATATTTCCTCAGGAGGCTTGTTAATGGGTCTGAGATTACATAAATTCAATACTCTGGGTTCCCTCTTCTTTCCAAAATAGACTACAAATTAACACTCTGGTTGGAGCAGTGCCTAAAAGCTTGGAAATGTTTTTATAATCATAAGTCATGGATCCTTTAAGATGTCAACTAGCTCAAAACAAATGGAAAAATTGGTGAATCAGTATCAATTACATTGATTACATTCAGTCTACAGCTAGTCCTGGACTTAACCACCACAACTGAGCCCAAAATTTATGTTGCTGAGTGACACACTTGTTAAGTGAGTTTTGTCCCATTTTACAACCTTCCTTGCCGCGATTGTTAAGTTGGCAATACGGTTGTTAATTGAATTTGGCTTCCTCACTGACTTTGCTTGATGGAAGGTCACAGAAGGTGATCACATGACCACAAGACACTGCAACCTTCATACGTATGAACCAGTTGCCAAGCATCTGAATTTTGATCACATGACCATGGGGATGCCATAATGGTTGTAAGTGAAAAACCAGCATAAGTCACTTTTTTCAGGGCTCTTGTAATGTCAGACTGTCACTAAACAAACTGTTGTAAGTCAAGGACTACTTGTATTACCATTCAGAAACCTGCTCTCCTAGGGTCAAATATGGTTCTCCAGCTTATTTCAGGCAGCCCATCAGACTCCTCTCGAAACCCCTCTGCAAGAGTTCATTTAAATTATTTAATAAGATCTATCTTTTACTTGCAATCTGCTTTTGGGGAACAAAAAAAAGGAAGAGAGAAAGAAAAGGATGTCAGACTGGAAGGGCCCCCTCATTTTTGATTGATGCTCCCAACAATGTATTCTTGACATTTTTTTTTTCTTTTTCACTAGTGTGTTCCCAAAAGTGCACAGTTGGTTCACTTTTTTTTTTCAGATCAGCCAAAAGATGATGATATAAAAGTACATCTGTGCCTTTTCTAGTGATTAGATTATCTTTAAAAATGTCTACCTGAAAGGATCATTTCAAGAAGAGTTCAGCTTGGGATAGTTATTTCACTGAAATAAATGTTTGGAAACTGATGTAACTTGAGCAGATCTTGCTGCATCAATAAGAAATGAGATCGGGTCAAATCTCTCAGTTTCACTAGGGCAGTGGTTCTCAACCTTTTTAATGCCGCGACCCCCAACCGGTCGTAAGTCGAGGACTACCCAACCGGTCATAAGTCGAGGACTTTCCTGCCCGGGAGCGCCACGCATGCGTGGTGCCGCCCCCTACGCCGGCCGAGGTGTAGCTGGCAAGCAGCAGAGTCGGCGCAGGCTGGCCACCGGCTGGGCCACCAGCTGGCCCAGCCCAAGGGAGATAAGGCACCCGCCGGGCCCCACGCGTGCCAGCAATCCTCCCTGCGCCCGCCGGCCTCCCACCTCCCACCCCTGGCCCTCTTTTACTTACATTTTTAGTAGTTGCTCAGCAGGGAGGGGTGGAAGCTTCCAGACAGCTCGCCTTCGCTGCAGACAACTTGCAGCACCGTTTGCAGAATGGGACTTTTGGCGGGCTCAGCAGGGCAGAGACAGCCTGGACCATTCCTATTGGCTTTTGAAAGCCAATAGAATTAGACTCTATTCAAGAGAGTCTATTCTATTGGCTTTCAAAAGCCAACAGAATAAAAGGGAGTAGCACAGCTAAGGAAAAGGGAAAATGGTGGACTGCATTGTTTGGCGACCCCCGTGAAATGGTCATTCGACCCCAAATGGGGTCCCGACCCACAGGTTGAGAACCGCTGCACTAGGGTCTGCCCAGCGAACAAATTATTTTATATGTACAACTGTGGAGGTAAAGGTATGTCTAAAGCAGTGTTTCTCAAGCTTGGAGCAATGCCTAAAAGCTTGGAAATGTTTTTATAATGCCCCTGCTGTCTGGGGAACTCTGCGACTTGAAGTTCACACATCTTAAAGTTGCCTTGGTTAAATAACACGAACGTGTAGTGTATTTTCAATGAGGGGACTTGGCATTTTGGAGACTTGGCAGAGTAGGCTCCTGCCAAGCCCCACACGCCATCTGGGGAACAACCACTCAAAACCTCTGCCCATACTCTACTGACTTCCTAAGATTTTATTTATTCCATTTATATCCTGCCTTTTTTTGTGGAACATCAAAGTCATTGCGTAAGATTTATTCATGGAAGAGCAATCCTGAACGTAACATCTGTGGTTGAGCAGAAGCTTGAAAACGTATGTTTCTGATAAAGGTCTCCAGAATCACAACAAGCATATCAGTATCGAGATCAGCCTTTTCATTTAAAGTTGCCTTACTGATGACCTACAGGTAGTTCTGGACTTAAGAATCAATGGAGCCTGCCCACTATAGTGACAAGTTCTGACCATCGTCAAGTGGATCCAAACAACCCAATTTTATGATTTTTTGCGGCAGTTGCTAAGCAAATCTTCATGGTCATTGAGTGAATCCACAGTCATTAAGCAAACCAATTGTTCGCTATGGGGCATTTTTTGCCAAAAACACCAGTTTTCGGCAAAATGTAAATCATAGTCATGTGATTGCAGGACGCCACAAATACCCATAAATGGGTATGGCTTGCTGAATACCTGAAATGCGGCACATACAGTGCATAATCTGCATAAAAAAGGCCCTCCAGAGGCATATTTTTCATTTTCTCCACAGAAGTACATCCAGCACAGAGTTCTCAATTGGTAAGAGTGATTAGTGCATCCACCACATTGCCCATGTGTTCCTGTAAGCTGCGTTCTGCTGCCGCCCTAGATATCTCCATCTCATTCATAATCAATTCCAGATCCTCTTTCTTGATGATGACTTTTGCCAGCCCTTTTTCTCGTTCCTGCTTTGCTTTCTGCTCTCTGGATCTTTGGTCCCCTATCACTGACATGGCCGTCTCCAGATTGGAGCTCTGGATCTCCTTCTCCCCCGCGTAGTCGGTCACGCACTCTAGGTCAGCCGCGCCACTGTCGTGCTTCCGCAGCTATCCCCGCCAACCGCGGAGCCATTGTGCTTGGCCTCCAGCTGCACATCCCCCTCGGCCTCCATCACCTCACCGCTCCCGCAGTGATGCACTTCCGGGCATGACATGAGGGGGTCAATTGGAACGTTAGAACTGGGTCATTAGTACCTTTTGGGGGGTCCATAGGAACTGAATGATAATGAAGCAACCAGTCATATAAATCATACCTAGACAGCCTGGGGTGTAATGGGACCAAAGAAGCATCTCCTTAAACAGAAACATCATTTCAGGCTCACATGGAACAAAGTTGAACTGCTTTAATAAGATGCTCAGAGGTGGCTTGCTTGCCTAATGTTCTCTAACAGTCCTATAACGTATGCGTGCTTTTGGTTGTATTCTTGTGCTTCGAAAAGGAAACAAATGTTTTCAGCCAGGCTATCCAGTTTCTGTATATTTATGAATTGTAGGAAAGGGTGATAAGGAGGGGGAGGGGAGGGGAAGGAATTGCAGGAAAGGGTGTTCTGGTATTTCTTCATGCATAATAATAGGTATTGCTTTTAAAGTAAGTAAAGTAAATAAGCACAAACAAAATGTGTGTTTATTATTAAACTTCTATGCCGCCCATTTGGCTGAGGCAGCTTACAGCCATACAGTTAAAATACCATATAAAACATTAAAACAATAAATAACCATACATTTAAAATCCAGTTATTTCATACCAGATTTGCAGTATTACCAGGAAGAATACCATAAATGTAGTTGTGTTAGGCAGCTATTAACTCTACTTACATAATGTACATAATAATACCTCTAATCTTGTGTTGCTATTTTGGTAATAGCAGTCTAGCACTCTTTCTCAAGGAAATCATCGTCTTTTATTTGGGGAGTTTACTACAAGGTAGAAGAGAATGGAGAAGAGAGCACTCAAAAAGTGTAGCATGCCTTTCTTTGAAACTAATTATTTAATCACATTTCAGCTTTTTTTTTTCCAAACATTTCAACACATTGCAAGATTTTTGCTAGATGTTCCCTGCTGCAGCTGTATGCTTTTATGCTTACCTTATACCAGAAGGTTGGGGTGTGTGTGTGTGTGGAATTGCTGAGTCATTCTTTGCCGAGATTTAAAAAATACTAATCCACTCTACCTGCTAAAAATCAGCTGGGAAAATTCCTCTGTCCCTCACAGTGATGCATTTTCTTTGATTGGCTTTTTCTAGATCGTAAAGTCCAAACCAGAAAGAGCATCTCTGACGCCTTTAATGCTGCAGCCGAGACTGTCAGATGGAATTCCTTGCGTTAGCATCCATTTAACGGATAGTTTGTGTCCCAAGGAGATGGAGTTAGCTGATGAAATCTCCTTCCTAAGCAGTGCTGCCTTCTTCACCAGGTTAGTGTCTCTTCTTTCTGCAAGGTCAGAGGCAAGGTTAGTTTCCACATCATCTTCTGAGAGCGTTACTGTGTGTTTGTGGGTACACAAAGCCCGCAGCTTAAGAGCATTGCAGCAGAGGGCAAGTGCTTTAAGAAATCTTAGATGCTGAGCAGCCAGTCATGGCTACCATCAATTAGACACTCATTTCCTTTATTATTAATAGCGAAGTGATCTTTTCCTTAGGTGCATGCCAAAAACTCTGCAGTGCTAACAGCACTATTAGAAATATGCCAGCAGATGTGTGTGGTTTTTGATGCGGTCCCCGTTAACGATCTCCAGGAAAATACAACAGTTGATAACATAATGAAACCGTGTCTATGACAAATTAGATAATACTTCTTTTCAAGCATTAGTGTTAATAAGAAGGGTAAACTAAAGGAATGCTTCTATTTGTTAGATGTGTTCTTAATGAAACAAGGCGATACTGGATGTGGTCTTATCTTGGCTCTATTTCAGTACTTGTAATGTGAGATTGGGGGGAAAAAACATAACCTTAACCATTCCTTCCTGTGACCTGCTTTAACTGCAGGAAAATAAGCAGATAAATCTTAAGAGTCTGCCAGTGAGGCAAAAATGTACGGCTTTTTCCACTTCAAGCCTGTAATTTAAAAACAACAACAACAACTCCTGGTCTATGCCAAAAAGAGGTAAATGAAAATGTTAGCAAAAAAGGCAAGCTAGTCTAAATTAGAATGGCATTGAAACCAAAGATTCTGCACGAACCTGAAAACCCTTTGTATTATAGCTGGTAAAATGAAAAGGGGCTGCTTTGCAGAGTAGCCCTGACTCCAGGTGCGGCAGATGTTTTGAGGTAGTGCCCTGTCATAGAAGACACATTGTCTGAACAGAAGTGCTGAAGCAGCTGATGAAAAGTGCTGACGTCTGGCTGCAGGGGAAATGTCCTCTCTGTGTTCAACTGAAGTGGCTAGTTTGGAGTTGCGTGTTAATTCCATGCAGCCCTTACTTAGGGCACGGCTTCATTCAGCTACCTTGAAGGATTACCTGGAGAAACGTGATCAGAGCAAGAAGCCTTTCTCAATGTCACACACGTCTAAGCCTAAGTCGTGGTATATCAGCCACGGTGTACCAAAACTTCCTGTGTGAAACCAGAAGAAGGTATACAGGTGGTCCTTGACTAACGACCATAACTGAGCCCAAAATTTCTGTTGCTAGGCGAAACAATTGTTAAGTAAGTTTTGCCCCCTTTTACCACCTTTCTTGACACAGTTGTCAAGCCAATCACTGCAATTGTTAAGTTAGTAACATGGTTGTTAAGTGAATCTGGCTTTCCCATTGATTTTGCTTGTCAGAAAGCCACAAAAGGTGATCACCATGACCTCAGAATACTGCAGTAGTCAGTTGCCAAGGTCTAAATTTTGATCACATGACTATGGGAATGCTGCAAATGTGAAAAACAGTCATAAGTCACTTTTTCTCAGTGCCGTTGTAACTTTAAAGAGTCGCTAAACAAACAGTTGTAAGTTGAGGACTACCTGTATTTCTGTAGCCTTGAGTTACTCATCACCAGGACCGACAGGTTATGGATTAGGCTTCCCTTGGAGCCTAAGAATAACATAGTAGTATAGTCAGAAATCAAATCCATTGAATTAAAGCACATTAGAACAGATACAAATCAGAACCGATTTTTGTGTTTCCCAGTATTGTTTTTGCTTCTTTACTTATTTGAAATATATATATTTTGGAGAAGATACTGCACTGCCTTTGTTTAAGGCAGTGGTTCTCAACCTGTGGGTCGGGACCCCATTTGGGGTCGAACGACCATTTCACGGGGGTCGCCAAACAATGCAGTCCGCCATTTTTTTTCCCCTTTTCCTTAGCTGTGCTACTCTCTTTTATTCTATTGGCTTTTGAAAGCCAATAGAATAGACTCTCTTGAATAGAGTCTAATTCTATTGGCTTTCAAAAGCCAATAGGAATTGTCCAGGCTGTCTCTACCCTGCTGAGCCCGCCAAAAGTCCCATTCTGCAAACGGTGCTGCACCAGTTGAGTAGTCCTCGACTTACAACTGGTTGAGTAGTCCTCGACTTACGACCTGTTGGGGATCGCGGCATTAAAAAGGTTGAGAACCACTGGTTTAAGGAATAAATTTTAAATAAAACACAAAATGCCATGGCTTCCTCCTTATTCTTTGTTTCCAGGAACATGTTATTTTTGTCTCCATGGCAATCAAGGCAAATTTTCCTCTTGCTATTGTTGTTAAAATTTGCTAGGAATAGAACTGATGAAAGACGAAACTGCTTTCTCAGCTTTTTTGGTATCTGTAGATCTAGAAAGAAAACCTGTAGTTTGGAAACCGGAAGTTAAATCCTACGTATAAGCAAGTTATTAGGGGTGACCCTGTTTGTCTTTGCCATTCTATTTTTATAATGTACAGACACCATAATTGCCTACACGGCTTAAGCACCATAAGTTGGAGAGTCTACATGGTGACTGCTTTCTCCTCTTAATGTGACCATTCCCAACTCTGTGCCCTTCAGTTTTGTTATGACTACCGTGCCTATCTTCCCAGCCAGCACAGCTACTGGTAATATCAGATTTAATGTGACATGTACCTTACTTAACATTTATTCCATTGTAGTGAATAACCTTGGAACACTAAGTCTTACAATAGTAAGTTTCTTCTCCTAAAGTGTGTGTATGTGTACTGCAGAGCATCTTGCTGTAGTTGCTGCTGACACTGCAAATCATAGATGAGTACGGTATGCGCTATTATGGTCTGTCTTACAATTGTACAAATAGTGCAGGTAAATGCCAATATAACACAATGCCAGTTTTATATATATTGTATATAAGTTGTTCAATTATAAGTTTATTCACTGAAGGACTAGTGTTTTGACTCAAACCCATATTAATTGGTGGTTTTCCAAGCTGGTTTTCTCTCTTTTCTGGATGTGAGTGCTGCAGAGCTCCCAGGAGCCCTAACCAGCCTAGCCACTGGCAGGAAATTTTAAAAGCTGTACTCTAAAATATCTGGAAAACACTATATTATCTACTGACCCTGCAGGAATCATTTCCACCCTAATGAGTGAGCCATTCACAAGTGACTTTTCCCTTTTTCTCTATATACGCTTGAAGTTTGCGTTATTATACTATACAGATAGTCCCTTGTCTTACGATCACAATTGAGCCAAAATTTCTGTTGTTAAGTGAGACATTTGTTAAGGGAGTTTTGCCCCACTGTAAAATCTTTCTTGCTACAGTTGTTAAGTGAATCACTGCAGTTGATAAGTTAACAACATGGTTGTTAAGTGAATCTGGCTTCCCCACTGATCTTGCTAATCAAGAGATTGCAAAAGGTTATCATATGGGACACAGCAAGGGTCCTAAGTACGAATCAGTTGCCTAGGATCTGAATTTTGATCACATGATCATGGGAATCCTACAAAGGTCATAAGTGTGAAAAATGATCATAAGTCACTTTTTTCAGTGTTGCTGTAATTTTGAAGTCACTAAATGTCTCTTTTGTAAGTTGAAGACTACCTGTACTTAATAGACATCTGATATCTCATACAGTAGTCATCAACTACAAAACCTTTCATCTTTTTGACTTAAATATAAAGTTATGGTTATTGTATCTACTTCAGTCTCATTGCATTCTAGTCTTAATTACAAATATACAGTAAATTCGTAACCTAAATACTTTTATTATGTAATTATAACATACTGCATAATATGTAACAAACATTTTTTAAGTAATTTGTTCCTTCAGTAGTGATGTCTTTAAATGTCAGGTTGATCTGCAGTAAGACATCTATGATCAGGTAACCTACTGCGCAGAAAGTCAGTGGATGGTTAGAATATTGCTACGCCAACTTTGTCTATTTAAGTATGCAGTGATGGAATTCAGCTTCAGAAGATGATAGACAAAATCATTTGACCCATTTATTTCCAGGAAGCTGGCATTTGACATTGAAGTTGCTTTGGTCCTTATGTTAGATCTGTTAAGAAAGAGACAAAGAAATGTGTTGAATCTCTCCAATCTCTTAGCACAGGGGTCTTCAAACTTGGCCCTTTTATGACTTGTGGACTTCAACTCCCAGAATTCCTCAGCCAGGCATTGCCTGGCTGAGGAATTCTGGGAGTTGAAGTCCACAAGTCATAAAAGGGCCAAATTTGAAGACCCCTGTCTTAGCAGCCTTTAATATAATTTACCATGACATCTTCCTAGGCTGTCTTTAGGGGTTACGTTTGGGGTTCCTAGTAATATAGCTGTTTACAAGGTAATCCTAATGGAAACCTGCTGGATCCCATGACATTTAAGCCAAAAGATCCTGAAAGGGTGTATCTTGCACTCTACTCCATACATTAAAACAGCCTTAGTCACTAAAATATAATCAACTGAACTGTAAGAACAGCCTACATTGATTTTAGACTAATTGACTGGTAACTGGCTTTTTAAAACTTGTTCTCATTGTTATAATTTTCTTGCAGAGTTTTCTCAGCAATCCTTTCTGAAGACAGGATTAGATCAGAAATTAAAGTACAGGCAGTCCTTGACCTATGACCATAACTGAGCCCAACATTTCAGTTGCTAAGTGAGACATTTGTTAAGTGAATTTTCCCCCATTTTGTGACCTTTCTTGCCACAGTTAAGTGAATCACTACAGTTGTTAAGTTGGTAACACGGTTGTTAAGTCAATCTGGTTTTCCCATCGATTTTTGTCAGAGCCTGCACAGTCTTATTGCACTGAGATAACCCAGGTGTGAACACAGTAAACAGTGGTCTATATTAAATGGTGGTTTGTATCACAATATCTACAATATCATACACCAGGAACAATATACATACACATGTTAATACAGCAGTCTCCAACAGACAGCAGTTACAGCAGGAAACAGAAGAGAGAGCACACATTTGCGAAGCCTTCCCTTTTATACAAAGCTCTTAAAGGGACACAGACCCAGCTGGCTCTTAAAGAGACATAGACCCTGCTGAG